ATACAGACACACTGACTGGACACTCCAGTACATGAACACTGCACTGAGAGAGAGAGGGGTTCATACACACTGACTAGACACTCCGGTACATGGACACGGAGAGATTAATAAGAGTTAATACAGCGCACATGGATATTGCTCCTCGGGTGACGGTCTTGGGGGCAGAGCTGTGGCTCTGTGGTTGGGAGGTTGCTGGTTCAAATCCCGCGGCCGGCAGAGAAATCCTACTCCATTGGGCCCCTGAGCAAGGCCCTTAACCCCAACTGCTCCAGGGGCGCCGTATAAATGTCTGATCCTGCGCTCTGACCACCAGCTTCTCACCCCGTGGTCTCACGGAGAGCAAGCTGGGGTCTGCGAAGAGACGATTCTAATACAAGACGTTGTATCTGGCCAATAACGGAATCGGATCTCTGTGTTTGGTCTCCGCTGCCCCCGAGTGACACCGGACAGGAGCACCGGCGTCCGGAGTCCCACAGAGACCAGGGGGAGACTTTCGCAGACGTCCAGAGAACAGTGAGCCGGACACGACACCGGTCCGGCCCTCTCTCCCACACCCGTAGATGCACCGAGCGACCCGACATCGGACTCCCAACATCTCCCACTAAACCTCCCAGCTGCGCGCTAATAACGCCCGCAAACTAAAGCCACAACTCTCCCATCACCGTAGCGCCCCGGCCTGCCAACAACAGCCCGCTAAATACACAGATGAATGCGGATTTCGCCCGACGGCGCGGCCGAACCAGAGAAGTAAACGGCACCCACCATCTTGGATCCGAGGCGAAAAGGGAAGGCGGTCTCTCGCGCTCTCGTGATAAAGCCGCACTCGGCGTCTACGTCACGTGATAGAGACCCGCCTCGCTGATTGGTTCGTTTCTGTCCGACATGTTTAGTGAGGGAAGGGAAAACCGGAAAAGGTTACAGCGTGCTTTTAACCATTGTTTGTTAAGGGAGCCATGTTTGTTAAGGGACACGCGTAAAGTTGTTTGAGAAGAACATGTTTAATAATAATAATAATAATAATAATAATTATTATTATTATTATTATTATTATTGTTTACACGTATATAGCGCTTTTCTGGCGTTTGTCATTCAAAGGAACAGGTAGCGTTGTGTTTCTTTTCTTCGCTTTTCAGTATGGAATAAACCTTCACTTGTTCCTCTGTGGCCTACGCATGCTGGCGCAGCTCCCTCCTTGAATATGTTGACAATTCGTCTGCTGTAGAATGTGAGGATTTGACTTTCTGATGAAATGTGATTTTGATACCGCAAGTATTCTTACACGCCACATGACTATATTACCATAACTTCACTCCTCGTAATACTATTATATGGAACAGCAGATATATCTTGCTACAAAGAGAATATATTATGGATACTGGTT